AGTTCATCGAGAAGCTGAAGATCAACCACGTCATTCCCACAAACAAACCGTCTCGATCGAGCTTCAACCTGACCAAGGAGTGCAGCGACGGCAACCTAGCGGAGGTCTTTGGCCGGCACTGGTCCTCTACGAGCGCCTCGGGGGGCGTCGCCCTGGGCGGCGCCTTCAGCGATGAGCCAGGGGCCCGCAACCGGACGCGGGCCATCTGCGAGGCTGCCAGCGGCTGTCGCAGTGCCAAGCAGTTGATTGAGCTGATCGGCCTGCAGCCAATTGAGACAGCTTCCTCTTCCTCCTCCACCGGAAAACCTCGTCCTCGGACGACCCTCTCGCAGTCCATTGCCCGCCTCTGTCCGCTGATGCTCTTTCAGCTGCAGGAGAAGGAGTGTGTCGACCAGCGCGACGACCACGTCAAGGCGATGAACCGGCCCTCGCCGGGCGCCGTCTGGGGCTTTGGCCTGCTCTTTGTCACCATCGTCAGCTTTTGCTCGCTGGCCGGCGTCGGCATCCTCCCCTTCTTCACCGACGTCGCCTACGAGGTCCTGATCACCGTCCTCCAAGGCCTCGCAGTGGGCAGCCTCCTCGGCTCTGCCCTCTTCCACCTCATCCCGCAGGCCTTCAATCTGATCAGCGCCGGCAGTAGCAGCGAGGAGAAGTACGAGTACCTCTACCGGGCGCTGATCATTTTCGGCGGCATCTACCTCTTCTTCTGGTCGGAGCGGCTGATGAAGATCGTCAGCGAGTACCGGCGGCGGCTGAAGAAGGCCGCGAAGGAGGTGGCCCTCCCTTCCATTACCAACAGCATTGAGCCAGAGGTGGAGAATGCTGAGTATCGGTAAGCTTAGGAGGAGTTTTTTTGGGGGAAAGATTTTTAATACCGATGTTTTTTTTCTTTTCCCAGACAAGTTCTCTTCAAGAATCACCTCTCAGTGCACCACCCACCGCTGAGCAATGGCGGGCTGGAGGCGGCGGTGGCCGGTGATGAAGCGACAGCAGTGGAACTCTACGAAACGGCCAAGGACTTGGACGCACAGCAGGCGCAGGCGAACCTCCTCCTGGCTGGCAATCAAAATTCCGTTGCTGCAAACCACAACAATCACTCCAAAAAGGCGGGCAACGGAGTTGGTCATCACCACCACCACGACCATGGTCATCATCACCATCACTCGGGAAAGGACGGCGGCAGCGGCGAAATAGCCACCATCGCCTGGATGATCATCATCGGCGACGGCCTGCACAACTTCATCGACGGCATCACCATCGGGGCCGCTTTCTCGCAGAGCATCATGGAGGGCATCAGCATCTCGGTGGCGGTCATCTGCGAGGAGTTTCCCCATGAGTTGGGGGACTTTGCCATTCTCCTCAGCAGCGGCATGACCTGGCGGAAGGCTGTGGGCTACAACTTTCTCTCCGCTTGCACTTGTTATTTGGGAATGATTGTAGGTATTTTGCTGGGCGACCTGGCGGACGCCACGCCGTACATCTTTGCACTGGCCGGCGGTATGTTCCTCTACATCAGCCTGGTGGACATGATGGGCGAGCTGTCGAGTAATCTGGANAACGTGGGCCTCCTCCTAGGCATCAGCATCATGTTCCTGCTGGCGATGTACAGCGACAAGATTCAGTTTGACGGCCTGGTGCCGCCCAAGAACTCGGACATGCCTTTCACTGATTCATATAAAGGATAAGGTTTTTTACTAGGCAATGTTTTCGCTGTTTTACCCCTCCCCCACTTTTTCTACCACCTTTGCGCCTTTTATCTGATTGATTGATTTTACTACCTACCTACATCTTTCGCACACACGACTCTCTTTTGTAAATCTCGAATCTTCATCCTTTCTTCTCTGCTGATCTTTATATTTTTATCATATGTTATTACTATGTTCACCTGTGTACCAC